TATCTGGGCATCAGTGTTTTTCAGGCATTTCATACATTCTGTGTCCCAATGATAAGATTTTTCAAAAATCATCTATTTTTTCCTACCAAAAGTCAAATAATGTTCTACCCTTAGTGAATACTTGATCAAGTAAGAACTTACTAACTATCCAAAATAATGATTATTCTCATCCATCCAATATCTACTAATTGATATATGCCAACCTTGTTTAAAAAAACCCTTCAACATAACAAGAATCCTTACCTACTGACCATTAACATTACACAAAAACAATGCAAGTATAAAAGCTATTATCCTTTAGCACTACTGCAAACAAAGTTTAGCTCCAGTTATAAAACAAACTCAGAAAATAGAAACAAACATCACAGATTATATATATGCATACTTTAGGCAGCAGTAACACAACATAAAAGTGTAAAAACTATTTTTTAGAAACTTAAGATAAAAGCTTATGACCAACTCATTCATGCTACATGGTGAACCTTAAAATATTGTGCTAAGTGGAATAAATCATTAACGGAAGACCAAATATTATATGATTCAATTTATATGAAATATCCAGACTAGGCAAATTCATAGAGACAGAAAGTAGATTAATGGCTTCAGGGCCTAAGGGGGGAAGAGGAAATGAGGAGTGACTGTTAATAGCTTTTTGGAGTGATAACAATGTTCTGGAATTAAATACTGGTAATGGTTACACAATTTTGTGAATATACTAAAAACTACACTTAAAAAGAGTGAATTTTATTATATACAAATTATCTCAATTTTTAAATGTTTATGACCATTTGGGCTATTATAACTCAAAACTATTTTTTAACAGGAATCTTATTGTGTAGTTTGTTTTCTCAAACTGATCTAAAGTAGCGGTTATACTAGTAAACTGGTTCTCTACTAGCCTCCTTTTAAAATCAGAGCTTTAGAGTGTTGTCAATGAAAACTACCAACTTGCCAATATTTATCAATATATTTTTCATCAGAATACAGAATTCTGGCTTCCTAAAAAACAAACTGGAGTTCTAAAAATATCAGGCAATCTGCACAGCAACAGTGGCCCAGAGCTGAGCAGCAACTAACAAACCTGGTCCTATTTGCCATGATCTCCACTACTTCTGTCTTTCAGATACTAAAGCCTCAAGTCACTTGCCATTTAGTTTCCCAGTTGTATGTTATCCCTGACCTAAACAAAGACCACCTACCTTTCCTATTAGGGTATACTATGAATCACTACTGATAAAATATAATCATGAAATTGGTCAAAAGGTACAAATTTCCAGCTATAAGACAAATAAGTTCTGGAGGTCTAATGTATAGCATAGTGACATACTGTCATATGTCATATTGTATGTAATATTACATACTGTAATATATATTTAAATGTTATCTCCACGCACAAAGAAAGTGGTAATTGTGTGAGGGAACAGAGGTGTTAACTAGCCTTATTGTGGTAATCATTTCACAATATATACAAATATCAAATGATCATGTTGTACACCTTAAACTTACATGCCAATATCTCAATAAGGCTGGAAAATAAAATTTTAAAAATGTTATGCAAGGACAAAAATCTTGAAAGTGACATCTGTTAAATACTACCCTATAAGTTTTACAAATTCACGCTATATAAACAGTTGAATGAGAAAAAAATCTAGGGAAAAGTTTATGTTTCTACTACAAACAGAAAACACTTTCCATTTCATTTACAATTAAAAATTACTTTCACTTACTAACAGAAAACAGTACAGTAACTTATCCCCATATTAGGTGTTGGCACAAAATGAGGGACATTGTTTTATTCAGATTATTGATTGGATACGAAAACAAACTGCTTGACTCTGATTTTATGTTTAAGCCATCTAGAACACGCCCCCCCATGCTTATGTGCACAAAGGAAAACAACTCCTACGAATTTATAGCTTCTGTGTATTAGACCATATTTATAAAGCTAGAAGAAAACAAAACACAAGGTGAATATGGAAATAGCATAGAAATAGATTCTACTACTTCCTATCTCAAGTATAATGAGGATCGAGCTAAATGCTGTGTCAAGTACTTTCCAGTTTTATTTCGGTGTAATTCTCCAGATCTCTCCTCCAAAGAAAATAACTGCTACTCCTATAGATGGGAAATGTTGAAACGGTACTTGTATTCCAATTTATTTTTACCATCATATCTAAAGCTAATAAAATATCAACATATGAGTTCTGAAAGCTATTCCCCTTAGACAAAAAACAAACTCACTTCTCAAAGTCTTTCAAAAGAGAGACCAGATGAGGCAATTACTTAATAGTCAGAGGTAAACCTCAATGTTTGACCCCCTTTGAGCCATGCCACGTCATTAACTTGTCCAAGTATCCTCAAGTTTACAGGTGACATTTCACACATCACTACAACTGAGTATTAACAGGCACTATATAAAACTGGAGTAGCATCACAATTGCTTCATAATTGCAATTCCTAAACACACAAATGCAAAGGGTATAAATGGACTTTATGTCTGCCTGAAAACACAATCCTGTTTATTTTCAACCTGATGGTGAATAAAATGGGATGCTCTCCTCAAAGCTCACTCAATTTCTAATGCATGCAACGATTCAAACTTTTTCAAAAGTGTTAAGACTAGGAACAAAACAAAAAATAAACTAATGCCTCAACTATAACTTATGGAAGCGCTAAGTGCCATTACGATTGATAAAGATTAGTGGAGAACATGATCTTGAGTTTCACACCAAGAGTATAAGGTGAGCTAACTGTACAGGAATTAGCAGGAATTGGTTTATGCTTTAACTGTGGTTTATCTTGTATTCTTTAACAGTGCTGTCCCATAGGACTTTCTGATAATATAATTCCTTATCTGTGCTGTCCAACACATGATCCATTGTCACATGTGGCTACTGAGGACTTGAAATGTGGCTAGAATAATTATTTTAATTAATTTAAATTGCCACATGTGGCTAGTGGCTATCATATTGGGCAATGCAGTTGCACAATTTGAAATACAATGTATAAACTTGACTAAACAGTAGAGTTTTTCAAAGTACCATTCATGTCCTGGTGATGTTAAAGTTAAAACCCTCCAGCTAAGTTCAGTCATCAGCCCCTAGGCATAAAATAGAATTCACTATGACTGCCTACATATAAAATAAGACTCACTATGAAATAAGAATTCACGATCCTACTTAGACTGCGAATTTCAGGTACAATATTCACAAACAGACAATATTAAAAAACACATCTAAAGTTTTCCCCATTGTTTTTACAAGAAGGGTAAAAACTTTCGGAATCGTTTCCCAATGCATGCAAGTTACTTTCCCTTTATATCTGTTCAATAGCTTCTGTTCAGAAAAACAAATGGTAAAAACAAATGATCGGCCCGAGTAAGTCGTGAAATTGCGACTCGTTAAATTTCACGTTAATTTCCTTGTCCCTCCCCCCCCCCTTAAAGGAGAGATATGCCTGGAAACTGCCGCATGGCCTGGAAGCCTTGTTACCCATCTTTCCGTGTTTGCAGGTGCACAAACCATCCTGATACAGTTACAATTGCGTTGCTAGACACAAGGTATTTTTTCAGTCCCAGAGAGTCACTCCTCTTTTCGGCACTTCAGACATTCTTGGACCGGCTCTTCCCAAGTCAAGAAAAGTAACCAAGATGGTGCACAAGATGTCAAAATTAAAGCCTGGCAACTTGCACCCTGAATAAGCAAAAACCAACCGCCTCTGACCCGGAGGGAGTGAG